AATATATCTTTTATATATATATATATATATATATATATATATATATATATATGAGTATTTTAGTATGTGAACATATATTGTATTAAAAATTAAGTTAGATACAAAATTTCATTAGAAATAATACAATTTGTTACACTATGAGTTGTAATAGTGTTATAATACTCCTAGTTGTATTATGATGTTAAGTTGAGTTGTTTGTGTTGAAGGGATTTGGGGTTTGACGATCCTTTCTGAGCTTTAAGAGTGTTGAGAAGGGGTTATTTGGACATACACCTAGTTTGACCTCGAAGGGGAGAATATATAAGGTTTTTGTTTGAATAAAGCCTCATAAACTTGTTTTCCTCGGCTTTTTAGAAAGAGGATTCTAGAGAGAAAGTCTCTAGTCCATGAACTCATTTTTTTCTCTCAGTCTTATTTTCTTCTCTTTCCTAATCCTTCCTAAGTTGTGTTGTTGTGATTCAGGTGGTGAAAACCTTGAATCAAGTCACTGATCTTGTATGGAGTTTCGTTCTCTTATTCTTTCTTCTACCATATTAACTTTGAGCCATCAAGGTAAGGGATGTTAGATTTTTGTTTTCTGTGTTGTGTGATGGATTTGTTGGATGATTTTGGTGTTGAATGTTGTTTTTTTTAATTAAAATGAATGAATTGATGAAATTGGTGGAAAGATGTGTAAGGGTTGAGGTTGAGTTGCATGGAGGGGGAGATATGATGATTTGCTTATGTGGTTGTTACATGTTGATTATTGTGCAAGATTTGAGTTATTTAAGTTGAGTAGAGACATTATCTTTTATTGCATGTATTGGATTTCTACTAGATTGCAGGATTTGGCTCAAAATCAGGTTTTGCATATGTAGAATTCTAATGTTGTGTTGGGGGCGCCTTCAAGGTGTCAAACATTGTTCTAACTTGAGGCTCTTTATCTCAATCACACTAGGCGCATGGTTGGTAGCACCAGGTGTGAGGAAAAAAACTCATCTCGAATTGGAACTACGCTGAGCATTATTGAACGACACTAGGCGTGGATGCTTTGAGAGCTTTGATTTGGTGAAATTGGGCCTAAGATTGTGTGGCGTCTTGCATGGCCAAGCTAAAGCTCTATGTTTGGATTTCACTAGGTGTCG